GTAGTAACATACAATTTTCAACCAAGCAGTAACTCGGGAACGTTTAGATAAAGCTGAATTTTCACCATAGGCGAGCTGCTGTCTGAGTCGAAACGGATACAAAAAGTAGAAATAGGAGATAGTGAATAAATGACGTAGTAAATAATAATAATAATAATACCAGTCATTTCAATGTTAGTCGGAGAGAAACGAATATTTTCTATAAGCAGATAGTTCATCATGGTTTTAGTGTGTGGGCTGAGATACTGCCCGGGTGCCCAAACCGAAGCAGGTGGTTTTCTTAGGGGGCCACACCCCGAGCCTTTGACCTAAAGGTCTAGTCCACAAGGCAGTGGAGCATCGTGAGGAGAGGCAGTCACATGGAAGCCGGTGACCAAAAGTTGGTTCATACGCCATTTGTTCCCGCAGGATACTGGAGCCCATGTGCACCATAGAATTGGGATCCGGTTATAGCGCCGGACGTTCGCTTTTCGTCCTCTCATTTTCGTAAACAACACCCCCGCCACGAGAAGGCAGTGAGTAGGACTTCCCTGGCAGAGGCTGTATACGCGTGGCCGTGTGAGAGTATTTCGAGAGGGAGGGCGAACCCTCCCCGCTCTCGGCCATACCTATCAATGCAGTAGACCACCAAAACCCAATGGTCTTTCACAACCTTTTGGTTTAAATGATTGATAGATAACAATGCTATTTTCACAACTATTCGAATACCATGATAGACTAGAGAGTGACTATTACCTTCATGGTTTACTAAGCAGGTAGTAGTAGTAGTAGTAGTAGTAGTAAGTAGTAGTAGTAGTAGTAAGTAGTAGTAGTAGTAGTAGTAGTAGTAGTAGTAGTAGTAGTAGTAGTAGTAAGTAGTAGTAGTAGTAGTAAGTAGTAGTAGTAGTAGTAGTAGTAGTAGTAGTAGTAGTAGTAGTAGTAGTAGTAGTAGTAGTAGTAGTAGTAGTAGTAGTAGTAGTAGTAGTAGTAGTAGTAGTAGTAGTAGTAGTAGTAGTAGTAGTAGTAGTAGTAGTAGTAGTAGTAGTAGTAGTAGTAGTAGTAGTAGTAGTAGTAGTAGTAGTAGTAGTAGTAGTAGTAGTAGTAGTAGTAGTAGTAGTAGTAGTAGTAGTAGTAGTAGTAGTAGTAGTAGTAGTAGTAGTAGTAGTAGTAGTAGTAGTAGTAGTAGTAGTAGTAGTAGTAGTAGTAGTAGTAGTAGTAGTAGTAGTAGTAGTAGTAGTAGTAGTAGTAGTAGTAGTAGTAGTAGTAGTAGTAGTAGTAGTAGTAGTAGTAGTAGTAGTAGTAGTAGTAGTAGTAGTAGTAGTAGTAGTAGTAGTAGTAGTAGTAGTAGTAGTAGTAGTAGTAGTAGTAGTAGTAGTAGTAGTAGTAGTAGTAGTAGTAGTAGTAGTAGTAGTAGTAGTAGTAGTAGTAGTAGTAGTAGTAGTAGTAGTAGTAGTAGTAGTAGTAGTAGTAGTAGTAGTAGTAGTAGTAGTAGTAGTAGTAGTAGTAGTAGTAGTAGTAGTAGTAGTAGTAGTAGTAGTAGTAGTAGTAGTAGTAGTAGTAGTAGTAGTAGTAGTAGTAGTAGTAGTAGTAGTAGTAGTAGTAGTAGTAGTAGTAGTAGTAGTAGTAGTAGTAGTAGTAGTAGTAGTAGTAGTAGTAGTAGTAGTAGTAGTAGTAGTAGTAGTAGTAGTAGTAGTAGTAGTAGTAGTAGTAGTAGTAGTAGTAGTAGTAGTAGTAGTAGTAGTAGTAGTAGTAGTAGTAGTAGTAGTAGTAGTAGTAGTAGTAGTAGTAGTAGTAGTAGTAGTAGTAGTAGTAGTAGTAGTAGTAGTAGTAGTAGTAGTAGTAGTAGTAGTAGTAGTAGTAGTAGTAGTAGTAGTAGTAGTAGTAGTAGTAGTAGTAGTAGTAGTAGTAGTAGTAGTAGTAGTAGTAGTAGTAGTAGTAGTAGTAGTAGTAGTAGTAGTAGTAGTAGTAGTAGTAGTAGTAGTAGTAGTAGTAGTAGTAGTAGTAGTAGTAGTAGTAGTAGTAGTAGTAGTAGTAGTAGTAGTAGTAGTAGTAGTAGTAGTAGTAGTAGTAGTAGTAGTAGTAGTAGTAGTAGTAGTAGTAGTAGTAGTAGTAGTAGTAGTAGTAGTAGTAGTAGTAGTAGTAGTAGTAGTAGTAGTAGTAGTAGTAGTAGTAGTAGTAGTAGTAGTAGTAGTAGTAGTAGTAGTAGTAGTAGTAGTAGTAGTAGTAGTAGTAGTAGTAGTAGTAGTAGTAGTAGTAGTAGTAGTAGTAGTAGTAGTAGTAGTAGTAGTAGTAGTAGTAGTAGTAGTAGTAGTAGTAGTAGTAGTAGTAGTAGTAGTAGTAGTAGTAGTAGTAGTAGTAGTAGTAGTAGTAGTAGTAGTAGTAGTAGTAGTAGTAGTAGTAGTAGTAGTAGTAGTAGTAGTAGTAGTAGTAGTAGTAGTAGTAGTAGTAGTAGTAGTAGTAGTAGTAGTAGTAGTAGTAGTAGTAGTAGTAGTAGTAGTAGTAGTAGTAGTAGTAGTAGTAGTAGTAGTAGTAGTAGTAGTAGTAGTAGTAGTAGTAGTAGTAGTAGTAGTAGTAGTAGTAGTAGTAGTAGTAGTAGTAGTAGTAGTAGTAGTAGTAGTAGTAGTAGTAGTAGTAGTAGTAGTAGTAGTAGTAGTAGTAGTAGTAGTAGTAGTAGTAGTAGTAGTAGTAGTAGTAGTAGTAGTAGTAGTAGTAGTAGTAGTAGTAGTAGTAGTAGTAGTAGTAGTAGTAGTAGTAGTAGTAGTAGTAGTAGTAGTAGTAGTAGTAGTAGTAGTAGTAGTAGTAGTAGTAGTAGTAGTAGTAGTAGTAGTAGTAGTAGTAGTAGTAGTAGTAGTAGTAGTAGTAGTAGTAGTAGTAGTAGTAGTAGTAGTAGTAGTAGTAGTAGTAGTAGTAGTAGTAGTAGTAGTAGTAGTAGTAGTAGTAGTAGTAGTAGTAGTAGTAGTAGTAGTAGTAGTAGTAGTAGTAGTAGTAGTAGTAGTAGTAGTAGTAGTAGTAGTAGTAGTAGTAGTAGTAGTAGTAGTAGTAGTAGTAGTAGTAGTAGTAGTAGTAGTAGTAGTAGTAGTAGTAGTAGTAGTAGTAGTAGTAGTAGTAGTAGTAGTAGTAGTAGTAGTAGTAGTAGTAGTAGTAGTAGTAGTAGTAGTAGTAGTAGTAGTAGTAGTAGTAGTAGTAGTAGTAGTAGTAGTAGTAGTAGTAGTAGTAGTAGTAGTAGTAGTAGTAGTAGTAGTAGTAGTAGTAGTAGTAGTAGTAGTAGTAGTAGTAGTAGTAGTAGTAGTAGTAGTAGTAGTAGTAGTAGTAGTAGTAGTAGTAGTAGTAGTAGTAGTAGTAGTAGTAGTAGTAGTAGTAGTAGTAGTAGTAGTAGTAGTAGTAGTAGTAGTAGTAGTAGTAGTAGTAGTAGTAGTAGTAGTAGTAGTAGTAGTAGTAGTAGTAGTAGTAGTAGTAGTAGTAGTAGTAGTAGTAGTAGTAGTAGTAGTAGTAGTAGTAGTAGTAGTAGTAGTAGTAGTAGTAGTAGTAGTAGTAGTAGTAGTAGTAGTAGTAGTAGTAGTAGTAGTAGTAGTAGTAGTAGTAGTAGTAGTAGTAGTAGTAGTAGTAGTAGTAGTAGTAGTAGTAGTAGTAGTAGTAGTAGTAGTAGTAGTAGTAGTAGTAGTAGTAGTAGTAGTAGTAGTAGTAGTAGTAGTAGTAGTAGTAGTAGTAGTAGTAGTAGTAGTAGTAGTAGTAGTAGTAGTAGTAGTAGTAGTAGTAGTAGTAGTAGTAGTAGTAGTAGTAGTAGTAGTAGTAGTAGTAGTAGTAGTAGTAGTAGTAGTAGTAGTAGTAGTAGTAGTAGTAGTAGTAGTAGTAGTAGTAGTAGTAGTAGTAGTAGTAGTAGTAGTAGTAGTAGTAGTAGTAGTAGTAGTAGTAGTAGTAGTAGTAGTAGTAGTAGTAGTAGTAGTAGTAGTAGTAGTAGTAGTAGTAGTAGTAGTAGTAGTAGTAGTAGTAGTAGTAGTAGTAGTAGTAGTAGTAGTAGTAGTAGTAGTAGTAGTAGTAGTAGTAGTAGTAGTAGTAGTAGTAGTAGTAGTAGTAGTAGTAGTAGTAGTAGTAGTAGTAGTAGTAGTAGTAGTAGTAGTAGTAGTAGTAGTAGTAGTAGTAGTAGTAGTAGTAGTAGTAGTAGTAGTAGTAGTAGTAGTAGTAGTAGTAGTAGTAGTAGTAGTAGTAGTAGTAGTAGTAGTAGTAGTAGTAGTAGTAGTAGTAGTAGTAGTAGTAGTAGTAGTAGTAGTAGTAGTAGTAGTAGTAGTAGTAGTAGTAGTAGTAGTAGTAGTAGTAGTAGTAGTAGTAGTAGTAGTAGTAGTAGTAGTAGTAGTAGTAGTAGTAGTAGTAGTAAGTAGTAGTAGTAGTAGTAGTAGTAGTAGTAGTAGTAGTAGTAGTAGTAGTAGTAGTAGTAGTAGTAGTAGTAGTAGTAGTAGTAGTAGTAGTAGTAGTAGTAGTAGTCGTGGCATCATACTGAGTATTCTGTAGAAATTTCGAAAGTTTACGAAAAAAATATGTTGAGATGAACAATATATCATCTTTGTAAAGTATAGGTTATTATCCATTTATAGAAGATAAAGTAATTAAAAGCAAATCGTGTGCTCTAGATTCTTTCTAATTACAGACTACTATCCTGTTATCTTCTAGAAAGGATAATAATCCTACATCCGAGTTCATCTACTAATGTCAATGTAGCATTCAGCTTATTAACCGATACAAAATCATCAGGTGTGTTAGTTCACAAAATTCAGCAACTTATCGCCTAGAATGTGACGAGCTTATTACAGAGTTATCACAGTGGAACATTACGATGTGCACGTGTTTTGCAATTCAGATCAATCTTTTAGTAACACGTACTTCCAGTTAGTGCAATAATCAGTGACATATAAATGAAATCACGATATTTGAACCATAATATTTACAAAATGTCTCCTGATTGACAATCTAAAACCGAATATAAACTTTGCATAGTTTCAGAAAACACAGATAGGTATATGACTTACTAACATAGCATCCCGAGCATCATCGTGTTGTTTACACTCAGCTATATCTAAAGGAGTCATTTCGAATTTGTTCTGAAGATGTGCATCAGCTCCAAAACGCATCAACATTTGAACAACAGGTGTATGACCTCTTTCGGCTGCCCAGTGTAGTGCTGTCATACGTAACATATCTTTAGCACTAAGATCCGCTCCATTACGTAACAGAAGCTCCACAATATCTGCGTGACCCTCTTGAGCAGCTAAGTGGAGAGGAGTACGATCAACTTTAGTCCGAGCGTCCCTGCTAATACCAGCACGTAGGAGCGCTTCACATGAACTAAGATGTCCATTCATAGCAGCGAAATGGAGAGGAGATATTCCCAACTATAAAGAAATAATAAAAATTATAGCAAGCACTACTTGGGAGTTCTATGTACAAAACAAGGATTAAACGAAGAAAATTCTCTTTTCGACGAAATCATTTATTCAAGCCGTACATTCGTATTTATAGTTGGATTTTCTTTGCTGAATTCTCTTTATTTTTATTCAATGACACAATGGGTTATTTTAGCTCTATATATGCTAACAACTTGATACTATGAAATACCGTTCCCAGTCTTCGGAAATAACAATGACAAATACGAATAGATTTTATCATCTGAATAAAAAAGTAAGCCTTTTTATATAAAACCTACGGATCGAGAACCGTATATAAATTTTGTGCTTTGGGGAACCCATAGAGTATTCACTTGTGGTTATCCCCAGAACCTTATCTGACAATGTGATAAATCAGGACGATTAATTTTGATATCTGGGCGAGAGTGATTGGTTGGTCAGACTTGTAGGTATTGTGAACGGCGTTAGATGAATTATATGATCTCTTAACCTTATTATTATTGGATTGTTGTAGGTTTTTGGTGTGGAAATATATTTACATTCTAGTCAGGCTAATCACGTACTCCTGATCTGAGTTGTGTTGAAGTCCTGCAGAATAAACATTGGAAGGGAATCTAGTGTAGATAATCGTCCAAGACAAATTAATGTCCCATTCGTGTAGACGAGGAAAACCCGCGCGTTCTAACAAATTTATATTGGCACGATGAGAAAATCAAAAATGAGTAGAATATAAAGTTTTGAGGGAAATGATTACTTTGTAATTTATATAGCGGACTGACCTTGACCAGATGACCATCGAAACAACAGAGTAATGAACAGTTATTTCTATCCAGTATGAAACTCCTCAGAAGTCTGTACACACGAGGTTATGGAGAACTGTCGTCAGAATCGGTTACTTTAAATGGTGTTCTTCAAGGCAGTTTACTTTTCCCATTTTTGAGATAACACTTTCACCACCTGACTTTTCAGGGGCTCATCTTTTACCAGGCGATTCGCTCGTTGACTTAGAAAACGCAGACGATATAGTTCTGTTTGCTGAAGACGCTGACAAAATGCAATCTTTCAACCAACTTAAGTAAAAGTGGAAGTTTGTTTCAGATTTGGCTCTCTCTCAAAATGCAAAATGTTGCTTTAAAACTCGTTTGCGTTATCGCCTAAATTTATGATAGGGTTTGAAGTAGCTGGGCGTATCAACTGCCCCACTTATCTTGAAAATTTCATCAGTCCTTACGGGCTGGTTTATGAAGAAATCTTGTCACAGATTCAGAAAGCTCAGTTTACTTTTGCCAACATCAGCCACTTATGGAGTACGTGAGATATCCGTCTACCAACCAAAAAACAATTTTACTGTGAAACAGCTCTTTTTGTCCTAGTTTATGGGTGTGAAAAACCACCATCAACAATATAGAATATTTGTGGGTTACCAGTATTCGACCATAGGTGTCTCCGAAGCATTGCTCGTGTATTTTGGGACCACCCACTAAGCAATGGCGGAATCGGGAATATGGTACGAGATGGGGATGGCAAATAGATTGAGGAGGTAGAAGCATCAGCATGAAGAGTGGATCTTTGTTGATTCCCTGAGCAAGATTCAAGAATGGAAAAACAATACACCGATCAACAACAGCTGAACAAGAGCAGAGAAAGCCAAAGCAAAGGCCGAATACACAGAGGAAAACAAACGACTGAAGAGGAGTATTAGAGCCGATAAACGGCAATACATGGAAGACCTAGCAATGACAGTAGAAAAAGCTGCAAGAGATGGAAATTTAAAACAACTATACGGAACAACGAAGCTATCAGGAAAATATGGTAAACCAAAGCGAACAGCCAAGAACAAAAAAGGCAAACCAATCACAGATCAAAGAACAAAGGAAAATGTTGCTAGGAAATTTTGAAGAGTTCTCCGGCACGCCAGGTCAACTGAGCACACAGGACATCGAAGGAGTATCTACAGACCTACCTGCAGATGTTACCGCACCAACAATCAAGGAAATCAGCCTGGTTACAAGACAAATCAAGGATGGCAAAGCAGCAGGGCCAGACAGCATACCAGCTGAGACACTTAATTCAAACTTAAAAGTAACGACAAAGATGCTCCATCTTCTCTTCGGAAAAGTTTAGGAGGAAAAACTGTTATATCCTAGCGAAGATTAAGTTACGAGTAACTTCTAAGACCAATAATGGACTAATATTATCTATAAATTCTTATTCAGTAATTAGATTGTGTATATTTATATTCATCTTATTATAAGCTTTATTTTGACTTATAGATTATTATTGTAAGATTTACTGTTCTTAAGTTATACTCAGTTTATTAATTAATGTCGCCCACGTTCATAGCCACTTTTTGGCTTTATTGTGTATAAATGTTATTTCCTATTTTATGGTGCGTTGCGGTCTGTTTGGTTGATATATAAACCCAGTATGTCTGAAATAAATGATTCTCATAGTGGAAGATGTATTGGTGTTCTGGACGGGCTAGGCGAGCAAGGGACCAATAAGGACGCTAGGCTGCTCATACCGGTCGAACGTCGTTGGTTTAGCAGTGTGAAGATTGTATAACTCGTATTTCGATTGGCGGATAAACCACGTAATAACCAGCTGGACTTAAAGTCACAACAAAAACAAGTATCGACAGACTAGATAGAAGGATACCGCATTAAAATACTAAGGAAAGAGGACCTTAGTAAATGTGAGAACTATAGAGGCACTAAACTACTATCAGTCGCAGGAAAAGTTTTCAACACAATGTTGTTGAGCTGAAAGGAAAATTCAGCAGGCGTCCAACTTCGAGATAAATAGGCTGGATTCCGTAGGGACAGATCGTGTACTGATTAAATCGCTACAATACGGATTATTGTTGAACAATCGATTGAATGAAACTCGTCACTATACATCAACTTCCTTGACTGTGAGAAAGCATTGGACAGTACAGATGGCAGAACCTTAAAGCATATTGTTCGACACTATGGTGTACCTAAGAAGATTGTAACCATCAAACGGGATTCATACGATGAAATACACTGCAGATTCATGCACAGAAAACAACTAACAGATCCATTCCAAGTGAGGACCTGAATCAGACAAGGCTGTTTCCTCTCTCCCTTTCTCCTTATTTCTGGTGGTTGACTGGATTATGGAGACCTCCACATCTCAGAAGAAGTACATAATACAATGAACAGCTTCGATTCAGCTAGACGATTTGAACTTCGCAGATAACCTAGCTCTTCTATTCCATAAAGACCAACAAATGCAGGTGAAGACAGCCAGTTTGGTGGCAGCCTGTGCAACAGTAGGCCTCAACATACACAAGGGGAAAAGTAAGATCCTCAAATACAACACAGAGAAAACCAACCTAATCTCACTTGATGGAGAAGCTCTGGAAGAGGTCAGAACTTTTACATACCTGGGTAGCATCATTGATAAACAAGGAGAATCCGATGCAGACGTAAAAGCAAGGATAACCAAGTAAGGACAGCATTCCTACTGAAGAATATATGGAACTCAAAACAACTGTCAATCAATATCAAAGTCAGAATCTTCAAAAAGAAACGTCAATATAGTTCTACTGTAAGGAGCTGAAACGCGGAGAACTACTACAACCATCATCAAAAAGGTACAAGTATTTATAAACAATTGTCTGCGCAAGATACTCACTGTCAATTGATCGGATATTATGAGCAATAGCCCTCTGTGGGAGAGAACAAACCAACTTCCAGCTGAAGAGAAAATTAGGAAAAAATGTTGGAGGTGGATAGGTGTTACCGGGACATCGATTGGATTAAAGCATGCTCAATGCACGATTGCTTTGGCGCACGCTGATTGGCTAATTCCTGTCCAATCAGCGCTAGTCGATACTTGGAGAATACTCTAGAGATATTCTCATGTAAAAAACTATAAATATACTAACGGTTTTCCTATTGTGCTTCTTACTTCCATCTAACCTTGTTATTTGGAATATAATCTCTTTCCTGTCCAACCGTGTTCTGATTCGGGGACTTGTCGAGTGAATCTGTGTCCGAGAATACTAAGCAATAGGAATAGTTGGGTTATAACCGTAAGAGAGAAATAGAACAATAGGATATACATTGCGAAAATCGTCGAACGGCATCACAAATGAAGCCTTGGCTTGGAATTCTCAAATAAAAAAGAAAAGGGGGAGACCAAAGAACATATGGCGCTGGGAATCGGAGGTAGACATCAAAATAATGGATAGCACTTGCCAACAATTGGAAAGGAGCTCAGGATAGAATAGGTCAGAGACTCCTGGTCGACAGCTTATGATCCACGGGGAGCAACAACAGTAAGTATATTAGGATGTGAGATGCTGGATAAACCAAGTCTGACGTTTTAATTTATAGAAGCCCATGTCACGGAACATGCATAAATGCTAGCAATACATAGTTCTACTGTTCAATCATAACTTCCAGTCAGTCAACTACAACGTAGGATCACGAGCATATATGCATTGGTCCAAGCTGATGAACCTCATTAGCACAAAAAGATGAACACCAATCATGACTTTGTGAACAAGCCAAAAAACTCACCCAGTCAGTAGTAAACGGTGCTCCATTATTTATTAAATTCTTGACTTCCTCGACATCTCCGTTTTTTGCGGCATCCAGTAAACGCTTGCCAAGATCAACCAAGGAAAAGGCTTGTGAGACATGAGAAAAAAGTCTTGGGTCGTTATGTGCCAATGGTATAATATATTGATTCATGATCTGCAAAAGTTAAGTATATCACAATATATACGGATCAAAAATGCACTACACACACAAGATTTCTTTAAAATTAGTTGAGAATAGAGAGACTTGTACACTTCAGAATCCCAAGTCGATAATTACATACTGTATGAATAATAAAGTACTGACACTCGATTTTAAGAGAATCAATCAAATTTCTAGAATATGATCATACCCTTATTCTAGACGAAACTGTTTATGATTACAGAAGTACAAACGAGCATATCTGATATTATTTATCATGAGAAAAAATTGATGAGGCGATATTGAAGAGGAAAGAACCTAGAGCTACATATTTATAAATATATGAAAAACCTATTTTACTGTCTTGTTTTCTGATATACGTCCATTTGGGGATTTCGGTCAGTAATTCGGTACCATGATCAGACATTAATTTTTCATTTCATATTATTGCATTCTATTTACTGTTCATCACATTATCGAATCCCCCTTTATAACAATGAAGTTGAGGATGAAAATCTATTGTTAAAATATCTAATACAATGAATGAGTGGAAATCAATATTCATTCAGTCAGTGCTATTAAAATATTTCTAAATAGGTTGAGATCTTAACTCCACCAACAAATCATTTATCCAGAATAAAATCCAGTTCAAAGACAACTTATCATAGAAAATTTCAATTCATCCAATAATACAGTAATTACAAGCAACGTTACAATTGAGCAAATGAAGTCCCTGGTGATTCAGATCTATTTGAAGTCCAGTAGCCTGAATTTTCAGAAAATTATTGAACTTTAACCGTCCAAACTTTAAATATGATTTCTCAACGCTCAGTTTACAGAAAATCCGGGCGATTAGCCCCCACGTATCAAATGAACGAACCAAAACCACTGACACTCAGTAACAGCAGAACGGTAATTTTAGTGCGCACATCGTGACAATTCAAATCATGCGAAAATTCCAAGCCTAAAGAGAGTGGAAAGTGAAATCCAGTTTTATGTCGAATTATCAATCAAACAATGATAAAGGGACGTCTTAAACTTTATGTTAGTGTTGTAGCTGTGGATGGTAAACAAAACAGAAAAAACAATCCCAGTGAAGATCGAAGAACATACGAAACAAGTAAACAGCATTACCGTCTTACTGCTATCACAAAAGAATCCTACACTATTTTGTAAAGGTGATATGATAGACAAGGTCTTGGTTAATTGGAGAGCGAACAACCTACGAAATCGGTAGCCTAATCATTAATTACAATAAATTATGTCGATTTTGTGTTATCCTATTACATATAAAAACTGTTTTACTGAACAGCTGTCGCGTCTTTCGATATCAGTTCATTCGTGAGTTTCACTATCGTGAGTAGACATCAATTGTACACTTCGTATCATCCCATTTTGCTCATTGATTGGTATTCTGATAATTTATTTTGAGAATCCGAAACCCATTTATCATTAATCCTCCTCTATAATAAATGAGTTATTCCATCAACATATTTGTTAATGTCCGAATTCTACTGAAAGATATCAATATTCACAACCCTGAAGAAAATAGCAGGCTACAGCCTGGAAATTTCCATTCTATCTCTGAATACATTGGTTAAATCTATCACGCTTCGTAAAGGTTGCAGGAAACAAAATACTAATGAAAGCAATAAATAATCCTAGATGTAGACACCTACTTGTAAAAGGATCCGAGATGGACATTTCTACTCATCGACTAACAAAATTATCTTTATGCATACTAACATATGATTTCGTTTGACAACTATATGGCTAAGGAACAATCAAGTACAAGTTAACTGTAATTCCTAAGAAAAGATATATATTTCTAGTGAAAACCTACACAAAATGAGAACGCTGCAATAAATCTCTTGGTGAAATGAAGTACCATTTAAAACCTTTCATAATATAGGAGCACAGTGGAAAAACCTGGTTATCAATGAACTCAGAAGTTGTCTTCGGATTGGAAAATATAGGTAATGTCCGGATTTGTAATTACACAAGAGCTCGATCTAATGAGCTGTTTAACACTCTTTATAACAAGTTTTAAATACTTTTTACACGATTTAGTCGTTTTTCAGATTAAATGCACGTAGTGGATTACAGTGCCCCCAAATTCCCTGGTACAGCCGAGAGTAGGGAGAGTCCGCTCTCCCTCTCGAAATGCTCTCACATGGCCACGCATATATAACCTCTGCCAGGGAAGTCCTACTCACTGCCTTCTCGTGACAGGGGTATTGTTTACGAAATCGAGAAAACGAAAAGCGATTACAGTAATCTGAAATAGCTGACAGGAAGTTGCGATTTGTTATCCCCATTACTTCACATTTAAAGGAAAATTTTGTGTGAGGACCAGTAATAATTTTCGTCATTTTACTTTTTGGACAATGTGCACGTATTGTTGGCACTTACTACTATTTTAAGAGTAAAACTTTCCTCATTTTTGCTAAATATGAGCACTATTCATTTCGTTTTCAGCGTAGACTTTTCCAAAACATGTAAATTAAAGAGCAAATTAACTTATGTACCAAGTAATTGGATATGAGCTACACGAAGTGTAAGGGCCCCGACCGTTGTGGCTACCTTGACGTGGTGGTCGGGCTTGTCTATCGTAACGAACCAGTCGAGCTACACTGGGTGGAACAATCGTTTCTCAAGATCCTACCATACCAGACAGGTCGGTTAAAGAGCGGTAGGACTAAAAGCAGCAAACACAAGGTCTGAGGGCGAAGTCACACTGCTGATTGTACAGAGGTGTGACGACAGTAAGTTGTTTCCTTCAGACAACCAGCATGACAGCGATGATACCTTCCCACAAAGAGGAGTGGGGTTAGAAAAGTTCGACCTTAAAAATGCACACCTCGCCTTATCACACGGACATCCGTCTTCGGCTGTAAGGTCTTAACAAGTATGGAGCTAACACGAAAATTAATCACAAAATGGTCTTGTGTGACCGACCTCAAGCAGTTGTGCCTTGGGCACTGCGGTCACGCTCTCAGGTCACTAAGACCACCTCTAACCCAATTTCATATTTTAGGTACCTCTAAAAGAACCCTCCCACCGTGTAGGCAACAGGGAAGTTGGACGTAATCCCATCTGACTGGTCACAATCACTGATTGTCCCAATATATACTAATCAGTTGCACCAACTAAAGTGGGTGGGGCGCAGTTCGGACCTGAAACTTAGCGACTGAAAGTTGAACGTCTTAATCACTACACCATTTCACATACTATAAAGTACATCGAGATGAGCACTACAGTTTCGTTCCAATGTAACTACCCTGAACGCTAGTCTCAAAACAGACACAGAAGCTGAGACACCCATATTTGAATTATGATGTAAACGGAAACTGAACAAGTAGTATAGAAGGATTAAAATAATACTGACTCCCAGATCCATGGGACTATAGGCCCACACTTACAGGGTGATGTTGGAAACTATTACGGTGAAACAAAGAACTTCCCTGAACTAAGATTTTTCTCAAGAGATGAAATTGAGACAATCATTGGTATATGGTGAGGATTTTAACGCAAAATATATTTGTTCATGGTTAATTTCTATGGACAATGGTGTTCCAACATGAGAACACTTATGGTTTTAGGACATATTTCACAGGTCCTGGTAGGATTCAACAGGAACACCGACATTTCATCCAATAATAAACTTCAGCACTTCATATTTGGTGTTACGCCTACAAGTGAGTATTACCGAAACTGACTATATGTTTAAGACCTGAAGTGAGTATTTAGAAATCATGGCAATGCCAAGCAGTCAGACGAACAGGTATATGCTTGATTGTCTCGTAAATAAACCATAAACCCATAATTTAGAAATCCAATGTTGATGAATAAAAAATTTCGTTTGACTAAAGACCCCAATCTGAAGTAAAACGACTTGGAAGACTATATGCTACCCAGTCAGTTGAGTGAATCTCGATGTAGGAGCAGTGTTGAAAGCATTTTTGAGGAATAGAAGACACGGAAGGAACAAAGACTGCGACTTAGAGGAGGACATTAGAACGCAACCGACGTAAAGATATTAGTATAGGACACTCGCACTAACGTACACATGTATCAGTCAGTCAGCTACAACGTAGGACCAGGCACATATGTGCATCAATAAAAGTTCCCATACTTAATTAGCACAACAAGATGAACATCGAATTCGTAGAAGTAGAGGTGGCAATATATAAAATTAAGATTGTATATAGGGACATAGTACAGGAAGAAAGAATGAATTTGTAGAAAGGAAGATATAAAGCGATTTTAATCTTATAGTTTAATAATAATAATATATAAAAAAAAGATTATGTACAAAAATATACAACAGGAAAGAAGAATTAGTTCGTAGAAAGGGAGATATAAAGTAATTTTAACCCCACAGATTAAGGGAAGACAGAGAGTGTATACACTTACGCCATCGTGATCGATTCTGAGCCATGTCACCAAGAATCTCCAAACATTGGTTACGATAGTCACGAGGACCCCAACCAAGTAGTCTGCGTTTACCAACATGGCTCAGACTAGACGTTAGTGACTTCAAGCACTGATGCCACGTTTTCATTCGGCCGCCCCTTACTTTCTTCCACCCGTCTTCAACACTAGTCAGCATTGCGCGTCGTAGTAATCGGTTTTCAGGCATATGCAACACGTGGCCCAACCATCTCAGTCGATGAAGATTCACAACCTCATCAATTGATTTACCATCATTCCCTAATATCCTGCGTTCAACCTCACTATTACTTACCCAGTGATCCCAGCAATATTTCTAAGGCACCTGTGATCAAATACTGGTAGCTTGCGAGTATCTTCTACTCGTAATGGCCACGTTTCGCAGCTGTAAAGTAAAACAGAACGAACTGCCGCGCAGTATAATCGTCCTTTTATTGATAGACGGATATCTTGCCTTCGCCATAGGTTACGTAAGCTGGCAAAAGCCAAAAGAGCTTTCTGAATCCGTGCAGAGATTTCGTCAGACACCAACCCGTTAGGGCTGATCGGAATCCCAAGAT